CCCCCACCCCGACACTCACACCGGGGCTGCCGGGACCCTAATCCGGGCTGGGGGAACGGGGGAGGGCAAAGAACATCCCCACCCACCCCTCCCCGAAAAGAAAATAAAAAATTAAATAAATCAAAAATCGAAGGCGAGGGAAGGGGAGGCGCGGGGTCCCCCCTCTGAGACTTCCTCCAAGTTGGGAGAAGCGGGAGGGGGAGCGGGGCCGCCGCCGGTGCCCGCCCAGCCCTGCCCCTCCGGCACCGGCGGCACCGGCGGCACCGGAGCGGGGAGTTCGGTGCGGGGCAGCGGAGAGAAAAGGAGGAGGGGGGGAAAAAAACGGCGGCGAAAAAAAAAAAAAACAACAAACCCGGGGAGCGGGGAGGGGATTATTTACCTCCCTCCGCACCTCTGCATCCATTAATGACTTAGCGGCAGCCGCCGGGACACCGGCAGCCTCCGGGGCGTGGGGCTGGGGGGGAACCGGCACCGGCAGCGGGCAGGACGCGGAGCCCGGGGCCATCCAGGCGCTGCGGAACCGGGCGGAGGCTCCCGGAGAGGACCGGCCGGGCTCCGGGAAGCGGAGCTCCCCCGCGATCACGTTGCCTTTACGTGGGGTTAAACAGGGAACGTCTGCCCGGGGCTCGAACGCCGCGAACCCCCCGAGAGCACCGGGCAGCCCCGGCCCGCCGCTACCGGGGCCTCGGGATGAGGCGGGTATGACGGAGAGGAGGGGGGAGGATTCCGCCCTAACATCCATTTTGTCCCTTTTGGAAATGGAGATGGGAGAGAGGAGGGAAAAAAAAAAAAAAAAAAAAAAGAAAAATGCGTCTTTTTCCTATTTTTTTTTTTTTTTTTGCCTTGCTTTCTCCATATTTTACTACGTAAGGAATGACGCGCTCGCGTCGGGAGCGGGATAGGTTAGCCCGGAGCTTGGAGAGGGAGGGGAGGGGGGGAAAAACCAGGCTTGGGGGGGGGTGAGCGGGGGCGGGGGGGCGGCTCTGGCAGCAGCAGAACCTAAAAATAACGAGGATTTTATTATTTAAAAAAAAAAATAAAAAGCAGCAATATAATAATAATAATAATAATGATGATGATGATGATGATAATAACAATAATAGCGGTAATCCCGCTGACCCCGCCGATGCGGCCCTGTGGGCGCTCCGGGAATCCCACCGAGCCTTCCCCGGGGACCCTCGGGGTTTGGGGGTGCGGAGGGAGGGTTGGGGGTTCCTCCTGCCCTTTTCCCCCCACCTTTCCCAGGGCTGCGGCAGAGGCTGGGGAAGGCACTCCCCTTCTTGATTATTTTGATTATTGCGTGGAAATGAAGCAGAAATTGGTATTTTTTTATGCAATTCGACCCCAAATCCCTGACTGCTCCCCGGGTTAACACCTCCAAGCCCCCGCCAAGCGGCGGGGAATGGATTCCCACCTCCCCCCTCTCCCCCGGGCGCACCGGGATTTTTGGAGCGCTAAAAAAAAAACCCAAACCCGGGGTCTCGCGGCAGCCCCCGGGGAGGATTTGCCCCCCAAATTCGGCCCCGGACAGAGGGGGGACACCCAGGGACACCCTGCAGACCCTGGGGTCGGGGAGGGCCGGGCCTGGCTCCAGCCCCTGGAGCCATCGGGATCCTCTGCCGCTGCGGCCGAACCGGGACCGCGCCGGTGCCGGTGCCGGTGCCGCCCCGGTGCCCTCCCAAGCCCTGCCAGCCCCGGGGACGAGCAGCCCCCGGCCCGGAGCTGCCGGGGAGGCCCCGGGCTCGGCCCTAATGAGCTCCGCTTATGCATTTCCTCATTAACGAATATTCCTGGCGGCCGAGCCGGGGGGCACCGGGACGCGCATCCCCCACCGCCCACCGCCCGCCCCGTCCAACCGGGGCTTCCCGGGGGCTCGGCCGGGCCCGGGAGAAGCAGGAGGCCGAGCCTGTGAGTCGGACACCCCAAATTTTTGCGGCCAGCCTCGTAATTACCGCGCCCGGTGCTGCGGTGAGACCCCCGCCCTCGGTATCCGGGAGACCCCCGGCTTGCCCAGGGGCTTCCCCCGGTAAAAGGCGCTCGGGGCCGGGCCCGGCTCCTCCATCCGCCCGGTACCGGCGGGCCCGCTGCCCCCCACCCCCGACGGAGCGGATTTAGGGGAGTGGGTGGCGTATTTTGGCTCCCTGATGGAGTTTTGATCAAAAATTCATTAAGAGGCGCTCGGCGCAGCGCCATGAATATTTCAGGGCTTTTGCAAAACAACAAAGTGGGTGTTTGGGGGAGGATGCACCGGGGGAGAGGCGGCCCCCGGTGCCCGTCTCGGCCCCGGTTTGAGGCGGCGGGGGCGCCAGGAGGGACCGGGCAGCTCCGTTCCGTCGGGGCCGCGGCGGCGACCGCTCGCCCGCAGCTCCGGGGCTCGCTGCTGCCCCGTTATAAGGCGGGGAACGGCCCAGGTCAGGCAGGGAACGGCCCCGGTCAGAGAACGGCCCCGGTCAGACAGAGAACGGCCCCGGTCAGGCGGGAACCGGCCCCGGTTGGAGAGGGCGGCCCTGCAGGGACACTCAGCCCCCGCCCCGGGGCCACCGTGACAATCCCGGGTGTCCCCTGCCCTGTCCGCTTCGAGGGGCTCCCCCTGTGCTCCCCCCAACCGGGGGGACCCCACGGCCACCCGGGATGTCCCCTCGGAACGGGGACACGGCCGCCCCAAGGGATCCGCTGTCAGGAGCTGCTCCGGGCAGGAAACACCCCCCAAATCCACCCCATCCCAGCCAGGGGAACACGCTGCTGGAAAGGTCCCCGACCCCAAATTGGGGTGCGGCCGCCCCCCGGGCACATCCCGCCCGCAGCACGGGGAGAGGCGCCGGCTCCGAGCGGAGACAAAGCCCCCGCACCCCCCGGAGCAGCGCGGCTCCCCCGGGCAGGGCCTGCAGGTAACTGGGATTTACTGGGACACCTCCCGGGCCGGCTGGGAAGGGCACACGGAGGGCCAGAGGTGGCCGCGCTGGGCCGTGGTGGCAACTCTGCCGCTCGCCAGTGTCACCCCGAGCACCCCAAAGAATCCGGGGGTTGCTGGGTGTCACCTTTGGGGCAGCGCCACGGGGTGTCCCACCCTCTCCCCCGAGCTGGGGACACCGGGCGGCGAGCCTGGGGACAGAGGGACAGAGCCTGGGGACAGAGGGACAGAGCCTGGGGACAGAGGGACAGAGCCTGGGGACAGAGGGACAGAAAGGCCTCTCCGCGGGATGGAAGCGGGGACACCCCGGGGCACCTGGCGAGCCCAGTTTGGGACGTGTCGCAATGGGCGTTACTGGACCTGCAGGCAGGGCTGGCATGTGCGGCTCCAGCAGCTCCCGGCGCTCCCAACGCTGCCCTGCGGGCTCCTGCCGGCCCTTCCCGGTGTCCCGGTGTCGGGATGACCGTGTGCCCCCCAACCCCTCCTTTCCCCCACCGCCACCCCACCCCGGCAGCCCCCAGCCCCTCCCCGGGGCTCACCTCGCCCTGACATTTCCTGGCGCTCCTTCCATGCCAGCGGGTTGCCATAGCAAATCTAAATCTTACAAACAAAACCAGGGGAGAAGGTGGTGGTGATGGAGGGGGGGGGGGGGGAAAAAAAAAAAAAAAAAAGCCTGATTAGCATATATTCAAATGAGCCGTGCAATAATGCAAACCATAAATCATGCAGTCATTGCTATTCAATCAGTGTCTCTTACCCCAGCCCCCACTCCCGCACCCGCTGTCTCGCCTCTTCTTGCCAGGCACGGACCCCTGCCCGGTCCCAAAGGTGGCTCTGGAGGGGACCCCCCACCCTTTTTTGGGGGTGGGGGTGGCCCTGGGCCCAGCGCGGCTCCGGGGCTCGGCGCAGCCCCTAATCCCGCCTGGTATTTATGGCGCTCTATTAAACCGGGCAAACTCTTCCCAGGATTAATCTCCCGCCCAGGTTTTAATCTCGGGGCTATAATCCGCCCCCCAGCCGAGGGAAGGGGCCCAGATCGGCGCTGGAGGGTGTGGGGGACCCCCCAGCCCGGCCTGAGCTTCACCTGGGGGTGCCCAGGCGGTGCTGGAGGGGGACCCAAACCTCCCCAAAATGTCCCTGTGGGGTGATGACCCTTGGTCACCTCCCAGCAGGGTGGCCATGGCCGTACCCAGCACACCACAGGCCCCATAGGATGCTCCCCCACCCCAAAAAGCGGAGGAACCCCCAAGCCCAGCCCAGCCCTGAGTTAAAACAGGCCCAGCTCAGCTGGGCCGGGCCCACGCCCCCCTTAACCCCACCTCGCCCCCCAAAACTCGATTTTAAGGGGTTTTTTCCTTCTCCCAGCTGCTCTGAGACCCCCTGAGAGGATTTTTTTGGGGTCTCCGAGGGGTGGGAGCAGCACGGCTGAGCCCCAACGACCTGAGCAGACCGGGGGTGACCCAGCTGTCCCCCACCCTGCTGGCCAGTGACCCCCGAGGGGTGGCTCTGGCTCTGGGGGACACGGGGAGGGGGAAGGGACAGCTGAGGGGGTGCGGGCATGTGCCACCTCTCCCCTTGGGGACATTCATGCCCAAACTGGGCTGCTTGACCCCAGAAATGTCACAGCAGACACCCCGAGACCCCCAGCTCTTTTTATTAGAAGATAATAAATAGAAAAGCGCCCCTGGCTGGGCGGGGGAGGCGGAACCCCCCCACCCCGCCTGTCCCCTGTCCCTTGTCCCCCCTGGAGGCGGAATTGGGCCGGGGGCTGCGGGCTCGGGGCCGCTGCCGGTGCTCTCAGTCCTGCTGCCACCGCGTGGCACTTGCCAGCCACTCCCGGGGACACGCGGCTGGCGCGGGGACAGCCGCAAGGACGGGCGGGGACACCCCGACTCCTCACCTCGAAGGGAGGGCAGAGCTGAAAGGAGGGGGCTCGGTGGCGTTTGGGGGGCTCCGGGGATCGGGGGGTGGGGGGGTCTCGAGGAGCTGCAGCCCCCAGGGTGGGGGAGCTGCGGGGAGCCCGGTGTCACCGCTGCTGCACGGGGGGGGCCTCCCGAGGGGCTGAGGATGGGGAAGAAGCGGGGGGCTGCTCCCCCAAGCAGGGTTTTCCCCCTCCCCGCACCCCGCCGGCCTCGCTATCTCTGCCAAACGTCCACGGGCTGTCCCCTCCGCGTGGGGACAGGGACCCTCTGCTCGTCCGGCAGCGGCCGCGGCGGCCCCAGCGCCGAGGGAGGAAAGGCCTTGGAGAAATCATCGCGGGGCTGGAGGTCTCCGGGGGCTCGGGGGGCTTCGCTGAGGGACGCCAGGCTGCTCAGGGAGGGCTGGAGGGTGCCCGGGGGACAGCCCAGCCCCGGCGACACCCGCTCCGATTTGATGCTGACGGGCTGGTGCTGCGGGGACGCGCCGGGGACAGCGGCTGGCTCCTCCGCGGGGACAATCCGGCTGCTGGCCCTGGGGCGAGAGGGGAGGGGGGTGACGGAGTCTCCCCGTGACCCCTGCTGGGTATCCCCTTTTCACCCCAAATTCCTGTCCTGGACTGGTTCCGGCCCAGTTGGGCACTGGGCGGGTGCCCACGCGGCTGGTGGGAGCACGGAGTGTGACACAGGTGGGGACATGGGGACAAGATCCATGGGGGAATCCGGCTGGGAATATGGGGGTGCTTCGGGGGTGACCCCCAAGACCACCCTGGTGGGTGGGGGGCTGGCCTTGGGTGCCAGCAGCGCCCGTGGCTGGGAGGTGACACCCTTGGGGTGCAGCAGAATGGGCTCATCCTCGCCTTGTCCCTGCTGTCCCCACCCCAGGGCCACCCGTCCGCACCCCACTGCTGCCATCTCATCCCCAACTTGTCCCCTCTGTCTCCTCTGTCCCCCTCTGTCCCTCCTGTCCTCACCCCAGTGCTGCCATCACATCCCCGCCTTGTCACCCCTTGTCCCCCTGTCCCCCCCGTCCCCCTGGCCCCCCCGCCCCCCCCCCCCCCCCGCCCCCCCCTGTCCCCCTGTCCCCCTGTCCCCCTTGTCCTCACCCCAGCGCTGTCACGTCCCGGGGGTGCTGCCACGCCGGGGGCTGCAGGAACCCGGGGGGCGGCGGGACCTCTCCAGCCCCAAAATCTGCGGGGTGGGAGGGGCACCGGTGAGCGGGGAGGGGACAAACGGAGGGGACAGCGCTGTCCCCGGGCCGGGGGACCGGGACTCACCCGCCGGGGCCGGGCTGAGGAAGGAGAAACCGGCGAGGCCGTGGCTCGGGAGGCTGGAGCTGCCTGGGCTGAGCACGGGGCTCAGGGTCTGCAGGGCGGGGTACAGCGGCCGCTGCGGGAAATGGGGGGACCCCAAATAGGTTTTGTGTCCCAAAACCCCCGGGGGGACCCCTCCCCGAGCCCCCCAGCAAAGCCCCGGAGGAAGGGGCGGATGGGAAGAGCGGGATTTGGGGAGGGGACACCCGTGTGGCTTTGGGGACAGCTCTCACTCACCGCTGCGCTGCCGCCGCTCCGGCCGCTCGCCAGGCTGCCCTGGGACTCGCCACGCCGGCCCTCGGCCCCCAGGAACAGCGGCGGGGGCGTCTTGGTGGCCAGGGCGCGGCTCAGGCTGGCGGCAGGGAACAGGGGGTAGCTGAGACCTGGGGGACACGGGGACAGGAGGGGACCCGGATGATCCTCGGGGGGATCCCCGTGGCCGTGGCCGCGGTGGCCGCGGTGGCCCCGGAGGCGAGGGCAGCCGTGTGTGCCTGCACGGTGCCGCGCTCCGGCAAAGCCACTTCCTCCTCCCTGGGCCACCTGGGCTGTGGCCACGGGCTGTGACAGGAGGTGACACGCCAAGGCGGTGGCTGGATGTGGCTCCGGGGCCACAGGGAGGGGGGACGGGGGCTGCAAAGCTGCTGGGATGTCCCGTGGGAATGTCCAGCCGCCACCCCGCTGTCCCCACGCAAGGACTTGGGGTGCGGGTGTCCCCATCCATCCCACCATCCCACCCCGGGAAGGTTTCCTCTGGTTTTAACCCGAGTTTTGTGGGGTTTTAGCTGTTTTCCTGTCACCCTGTGGCTGTGCCCCAGGGCAGGGAGCTGCGGGCAGGGGGTGAGGGGACAGCCGCTGGCAGGGGGTGAGGGGACAGCCGCTGGCAGGGCTCAGGAAGCAGCTGGAGGGAGATCGGGCCGGTGTTTCCACAGCTGCCGCACCGCTCCTGCCCACGCAGCCGCCCCGGGCCCGCTCCCGGTAAGTCCCCGGGACTGGAGCTTTGCATGCGGGGCCCGGCTGGGAAAATCCCCGCGGGGTGCTCGTGATGGGGACCGAGTGGCCGTGGAAGGGACGGGGTGGCCATGGACAGGACAGGGTGACCATGGAAGGGATGGGGTGTCCGTGGAGGGAATGAGGTGTCCATGGAAGGGTCGGAATATCAGAGGTGGGGATGGGGGTGTCCAGGGTGGTGACAGGGTACCCGTGGTGGGGATGGGGTGTCCATGTCTGGAATGGGGTGCCCAGGGTGGGGATGGGGTGCCCAGGGCAGTGATGGGGTGTCCAGGGCAGTGTCGGGGTGCCCAGGATGGGACAGGACACCCCTGGCAGGGTCCCTCCCCCCGCAGTGTCCCCGGCTGAGGGGCCCGAGCCTACCTGGGGTCAGTGGCCCTGGGGACCGTCCCGGTGGCTTTGGAGCGGTGGCTCTGAAGGCAGGAGAGCGGCCCTGGCCCTGCGGGGAGCTGCTGGCGCTGCCCAGGGAGCTGTCGGTGCCCGGTGGGGAGCAGCCGTAGGCGGCCTCGGGCAGGGACACCGGGCTCTGTGGGGACACACTGGGGTCAGGGACAGCGACCCTCGGGACCCTCGGGACCCTCGGGACCCTCGGGGACACACTGGGGTCAGGGACAGCGACCCTTGGGACCCTCGGGACCCTCGGGGACCCTCGGGGACATACAGGGCTCAGGGACAGCGACCCTCGGGGACTTGTGGGGACTCTCAAGACTGCGGGGAGAGACAGAGGTGAAGGACAAGGAGGGGATGGGGACACTCGGGAACCTTGGGGACCCGTCAGAGGTCAAGGCTGGCGTGGGGACCCTCAGAACTCCTCAGGCCAAACCAAAAACCCCGGACAGGGACAGGACGCGACCCTCGGGGACCTTCACCAGCGACTCACATAAAACCTGGGCCGCGCCAGCGCCAGATCCACGCCCTCCCCGAGCCTTCTCCCCTTGTCCCCGGGCGGCTCCGGGCCCTCCTCCAGCTCCAGCTCGTGGCTCTCCAGCCCCAACCCTTTGCGCTTCAGCGTCTGCGGGGAGGGCGACGATGAGCGGGGTCCCTGCGGGCACCGCGGGGGTCCCGGGGGTCGCCCCCCGGCCGCTACCTCGAGGATGTCGGAGTTGGTGCGGCTCTCGTGGGGCTCGCTGTACTCGGTGTACTTGAGCAGCACCTTGTCCATGTCGGTGCTGGCGTACTGGAACAGGCGGTTGGTGCTGTTGAAGATGATCAGGGCGATCTCGCAGTCGCACAGCACGCTCAGCTCGTACGCCTTCTTCATCAGCCCGAATTTCCGCTTGGTGAAGGTCACCTGAGATGGGCCCCCCCCCCCCAAAAAAAATCCGGCTCCGAGTTCTCCCAAAAACGCTCCCCCCAAGGGGTGCTTCCCGTCCTGTTTGGCCCCACCCGAGCGGCCCCTACCTGCCGGTTCCGCTGATCCAAAATCCGGCTGATCTGGATTTTTTTCCGGCCCATTTTTGCCTCCTCCGCTGGGTTTGGGGCTGGAAGAGAGTGAGAAACTCCTGAGCCCTGCAGCCCTCGGGGCTGTCCCCAGCCAGCGTCCGCCCCAGCGCCGCCAAAAATAAGTTTGGCTGCCGAAAGAAATCAATTTTCGGAGGAAGTTCGGTCATTTCTTCTGTGAAGATGGTGGCCAAGCGGAAAATGGGGGGGAAAATGGGAAATTCTGCTGGGTTAGAGGGGAAAAAAATCCCTTTGGCCTTGCCCGGACCCCCCAATTCATCACCCCACGGGAGCCCCGAGCACCTCTGGGTGTCAGCAGCAGAGCGGGATCCCAAATCCTTCAGCGGGATTTTGGGATCGGAGTTTTCATCCCAAACCCGAGGGGTCGCTCCGAGGCTGCTCCCGAAGCTGCTCCCGGCGGCTCCGTGGGATGGGGAGGGCGTTTTAAAGGGGGCCGGGTTGGCTGCGGGGAGGGTCCCTCAAACAAAAGGGTTGGTTTTAGGTTCAAATTTGGGTTCGTTTTGGGTTTTTTTTTTTTTTAAATCTTTTTTTTTTCAAGCTCCAGCAGACTAAATTTGACCTCGGCCACTGGCGGGCCAGGAAGTGGCTGCAGGAGGAGCCAGCAAAGTGAAACCACCCACCCGCTCCTGGGGCAGCGCCACGGGGCCAGTGACCCCCCGGTGCCACCCTGGTGGTGTCACAGCTCTGGGACCACCCCCGCTACTGCCACCCCCACCCCAAATTCCACCCTCTGAACCACCCCAAAATCCCCCAAACGCCACCAAGGGGGCACAAGATGGCACCAAGGTGTCCCCCAATAGGATTTGGGGACAGAGCCGGCCTGGCTCTGTCCCTGCTGTCCCCAAAGGAGGGGCAGGAGCGGGGCAGGGAAGCAGCTCTGTGCTGGGGATCATTTTTGGGACCCCCCAGCTGGGTCAGGAGCCCCCCCTCAATGCCAGGCTGGGTGCCAGGGGTGCAGTTGGGGACCCTCCGGTGCCCCGGTGCCCTCGGCGTGTCCCGCTTCCCCCTCTCGGAGCACGCTGCCATTTCACCATCGTGCTCGGCTGCTATTTTTAGCTGATCAAAACTAATTTTAATTTATGGAAGGAAATTGCGCTGCCGTTCCCACGGCCCCGCTGCCACCCTGTGTCCCCGGGCCCACGCACGACCCACCCCCCGCCAAGGTCCTGGGGGGTGCCAGGACCACCCCGGCCCCGCCGGAAAGGGCTGAGAATTCCCTGGTGGAAAAGGAGAGGTTTTCCCGTTCCCAACCATCCCCAGGGTGTTTGCTGGGCTCCTCCCGGCTGCGACACCTGCGGCGCTCCCTGGGGACATCCCGAGGGTCCCCATTCCAGGGGGTTCCATCTGGGGACAGGGGGTGCTCGCCCCGTGACCCCCCCGTGACCCTGCACAGGCTCAGCCTTGAGGGGGTTTGGGGCTCTGGAGTTGGGTATGGATGGATGGATGATGGATGGATGATGGATGGATGGATGATGGATGATGGATGGATGATGGATGGATGGATGGATGGATGATGGATGATGGATGGATGGATGATGGATGATGGATGATGGATGGATGGATGGATGGATGGATGATGGATGGATGGATGATGGATGATGGATGATGGAT